ATTGTGCAGATTTTTCTTTTACATAAAGGGACGTTTCACTTTAAAAGATTCCGTCTTGGTCCGCAGGAGTTTTTGTCAGCCCTTCCTTCAGAGCTCAGGGGCTGAATCTCTGCCTGAGGCGAGGGCGAGGACTGACAGAAAATCCTTCTCCGGGTGCGGAGTGCCTAGAGTCTGCAGAAAGGGAACATCGATGCTCCCGACTGCGCACCAGACAGTTTCCGATGGAAATTCGGCAGGATTTTTTGTAAGTCCTGCCTTCGGAATTCAGGAGTGAATCTCTGCTGAACACTCGACTCTTTTGGCCGATGAAAGTGGGGCGATCGCCCCATCGCCACCCCGGCCAGTCCGTCCCTGAATGGAGGAGCTAAAGTGAAAGGGCTTACCAGTCTATGATGCAAGATTGATGAAATGAATTTCTGGAAAATGGCACGTTCGTTCAAAATCTCAGGAAAACTGCTCCTAAGCACTACAGATCACTAAAAGCTGTAAACTGGCTGTAAAGCTTGGGATAACCTAGAAATGACGGTGGTTCCTCGGCAACAAACAATTCGTTGTGACTTATTACCTCCAAAAGTAAATTCAGAGAGAGAAGAATAAGTAACTGAAGAACATTTAATCAACTGATGTAGCACTAGAGGACATAGTTCAGGATGAAAAATTTGCAGTTGAACTTTGAAGTTGAAAAATACATCTTTAGCCAGCTTCTGAAGAAAACCAGAAGATGAAGAAAACTAATTTCCATAGTTTTTAGTTCTCAAGGTAACCACGTTAGCGCTGCTAGCAGTGCTGGCCAATGATAGAACTACCAAACTCCCAATACATTGGTGAGAGGGTTGCGTTCTGTCAGTTTGAAGGATTTTTTAAAGCATTTTAATTTATTTCATGGCATTGATTTCTTTGGACAGTACAGTACATACAATAGATGAGTGTACATATTAATTACATTCAGACCAATTGACGAGTGGGTAAAGACAATAATACTGTTTAGAAGAGGTGAAGAAATTCTCAAGAGAGGACAGTTGACTCTCAAAAAGAATAGGTATATACTATCATTGACTGCTATGCAAACACGAGTTCCACAACCATAACTCCATTCCAAATTCTTCGATAGGTACTCTCTCCAGCAAAATGATGTTGCTCATTGGAGGACCTGGTTACCGTCGTGCATGGTTTTTTTCCAATTTAGGTTTTGCTCCTTCTTTTCTGAAGAAGAGCGGATGATCACTTTTGCAGGTTACTAAGGGTTGTCTGGTAACTGAGTATCTTTTTGAGTAAAGATTGAAAAATCTGAAATGGGGGTCACCAAGTTTTTGTAGGGGATAGCATGAAGACCTTCACATCTCTTTGAAGAGGTATTCATGGCTGAAAAAGATGAATGTAGAGTGCAGGGTGGCATATTTTAATCCCTCCTTCATTATTTTTGTAGGAAACCAAATTAACTACTTTCATTAAGCATTCAACAAGTACTTTCAGAAAGGTATGTGAAGATAGATTGTATACTTCTACAAATTAGAAATGGTTGAGTTTCTAATCGTCATTAAAATATTTGAGAATTTGACTAAGTGTTCTTTATTTATACTTCTAAGTGGGTGCTCTCATGGTTGCCATCACTATCAATAAAGTTGAACTGGATTGCATTTTGCAAAAAGGAACCAAGAGCATTCCAATGTCGCTAAGATTGTGAAAATGATTTTACCCTGAAAATATAAACATTGATTACCTACACAAGTTTTATCTTTAATTCCGATAACTATATATTCAAGACAAAAATTACTTTGGTGACTTAGTGACACTTTACTAATGGCATAATTACTTTGGCCTTTGATTTTTTGCACAATTCCAGTAACTTTATTGCAAAGATTTTAAATTGCACAATCCTGGCAACATTGGAATGCTCTTGGTTCCTTTTTGCAAAATGCTATTCAACTGTAGATGCAACTTTCTACATGTGTGGAGCTACTAAAATAGTCTATAGTTATAATAGACAATAGTATAAATAATAGCTGAAACCTGATACGAAGCTGAAGCTCGGATTTAAGTGGACTGAAAAATAACAAACCGGAGAGAAATTCAATGTGTATTTATTCAAGATCATCAAAATCACTGTTTTTCAATACAGGGAAGAACTTACAAACCAAAAGGGAGTGATAAAATAATAAAAACAAAACAAAAGAGGATTAAGATTAGACAAAGATTAAAAGTACATTAGGAATAATTAGATCAGGAGAGGCTAAGTCTTCATTTCTTCAGCCTTCTAATCGACTTCCGTAATCTGGCAATATGTTAATGCTCTGTGAAGGTGCACAACTTGCTTTTCCCATTTCTGTACAAAGAATAAAAATGGGCCTGTTGCAAACTTTTGCTAGATCAAAATTAAGGGTTGTGACTCGTAGAAAGTGTCTCAAAAATCATGATGAGCGCATCGGCAAAGTCTGAAATGCACTCCTCGCTTCACAATTTGCATAAAAAATTGGCGTTTTTTCGAGCTTCCCGCTTCAAAAAAGATACCACAATACAGGTGAGCATTTCGTTAAAGGAGTCATTCTATCCAACCAAAAAGGTAAAACATAGTTTAAACCTCTTCAGCATTTTTTTTTCAACCAAATTTTCATGCAACATCTTGCAAAATCCTTTTAAATAGGATGAAACGGTAAGCTTTAATCAAAGAGAAGGCATTGGAAATGATAGATTTAGGCCTCTACAGTAGGAACATCGACAGATGCTCGTACAGTTGTTCCTCATTCGAAAACGAGAACAAATACAGAGTGTATTTTATCGAACACATGAGCTTTAGTAAAATAGTGCCATGGGAGGTCATGAAAAATTGCACGCTACAAATGATTGTTGATCACTAAGTTTCTTTGAAAGTTTAAACTCAGAGAACTCATTCAGGGAGGGCAAACCTTCAAATTTGTATGGTAGGTAAAGAGAATCAAAGTAACAATATTTTCTCCTTCAGAGAACATAGAACTTACAATTGTAAAAAATAAGTTCTGATGGGAAAAAAATGTATACATGTGTACTGTCTTTTCCTTTCAAAAAAGCCTCAGTTTTTACAATGAATTTTTGTTTTACAAGTATCGAAAAAAGGGTTGTTCAAGTATTACTAACAACATTTGTAGAAACCTTTTGACCCCACTTCCCTCTTCTAAGACACCCAAAAGAGAATCTCTAACCTTCCTTTTTGAATTACAAGACATTGGACTGACCGACCCTCCTACCCTCAAAGCGTCAGAAAATAACGAGGAAAACCTGAAAAATGTATGGAAAAATTAGTTTTCTTCGATTTTATTTTTGAAGCAAAAAATTTGCAGCTTACAGAAGAATAGACTTGACTCCCTCACCTACACCCTCATAAGGCCCTATAAAATAATCTCAGACGTTCTTCCCTCCCCTCCTTCATCAACTTACATAATACTTGAACAGTCCCAAACTAAGGACTTAAGTTTGCGATCAACATTCATTCAAACTAACTATTTCTTCTTGTACTAAAAGAACTCTTGCAATTTTACAAAAAAATGCTTGTTAACTGTCTTTTAAAAATGAAACAGGGAATGGAGATATTGTCACACTTAAAATGAGATACATGTTTTCCTAGTTTTACTGACAATGCGTATCGTTTGACAGTGGAGTTGAAATTAATCAGTGCTGTAAAAAAAGGGATTTGATATAATTTGAGGTTGGTTTATGCTCTTTTTAAAAAAATAACTACAAAGGCTTTGTTACAATGGAACCATTTAAAATGCGTTCAGGATAGATACAATGCTCAGGATGTAATTCCCAGTGGATCTTCAGACAGGCTAAGAAAGAATACAACCGCACTCCTAGACACATATCCTTGTTAAAGTTTCTGGCAGAGCATGTTAAACATACCAAAAAATTCTAAAAAAATGCGAAATTAGCATTTATAGCTCACAATCAATTTAGACCATTTGACTTACTGCTCCTCAGAAAAACTAAAATCACATTAGGGGTAAAAAAAAAAAAAAAAAAAAATTGAGAGCAATCAAACCTTTATGACAAATTGACATTATTTAACACGGTAAAAATGTATACCTGATGTGACAAATGTACTTCACAAATGTCAAAAAAATTGAGCTCATGCAGAAAATTTTGTGAGTATAAAACATACTAAAATTCGCTTGACAAATAATTTTACTGGAATAGACCTTTCAAGACTTTTTTGAGAGCAGGAAATTGGAATCAACGCACACCAAAAGAAGTTATTTTCTGACTTATTGGTCAAAGGAGGGGTGGCGATTTGGGCCATTTCCAGCCCCACCTAATCCGGGACTTTTTTTGCTGTGATTCGTTACGTATAAGTGTCAAGAGAAAGCATGCCAAGTTTCAGGCCGATCGGCCCAATATTCGGGGGGCAGGGGCCCCCCGAATTTTTAAGCGCAAAATCGGTTTTAATTTTGTAGCGCCGTCAATTTCGCTCGTATACAGATGAAAATTGGGTGCCAGGGGTAAAATTTTGCGTTCTTTCCATTTCCGCCGTCAAAATTGGCACTGGGGCAAAATTATGGGGGATTTTGGGGGGTTTTTCGCGATTTTTCGCGTTTTTTACCAATTTTCTGCGGTTTTCATGCTATAAGTCAGGGGTTTTCAGCCAAACGACCACAGATTTGATTTCTACGCAAAAAATTACATAGGAACACAATGACCAACTAACACTCAACAGCGGATTTCTCTAGGATAAACTGACCCATAAGTATGTGTTCACTCAGAAATTTTGAAAATAGCCATGTTTCGGGTACAGCCCAAGCTTGTAGCACTACCATATTCACATATGATACGCTCTAGGTCGACCCTGTTGATATTATCGGGAACTTGAAATGCTACCCGCTTGGGCGGAGGGTCGAATTCTCCTCAGAAACGAATAAAAAGGCGATAAAATTACGTTTCACGTGAATTGTTGCGAGAGGAATGTTATTGTATCGGCAACTTTCACCTCCAACTTATGTAATTTTTTGCGTGCTTTCCATTTCTGCCATGAAAATTGGCATCAAAGCAATTTAAAACGGGTTTTTTGGGGTTTTTTTTATCATTTTTTACCAGTTTTTTTTCCGGTCTTTAGCAGTTTTCATGTTTGAAACCTCACCAAATGAGCCAAACGACCACAAATTTTAATTTTTCTCAAAATACATTTGCTATCACATCCATAAAATACGTCACGGATGAATCGTATAGCAGAAGAAATGTTGTGTAAAATCCTTATCTCTCATTCTGAATCCTCGTCAGACCATAAGTAAGCAGAATCCTCTAGGCAGTCTCCATAAGAGGATGACAGTCTTCGGGGCTCTTTTTCTTGATGTCGGTAAAAACCACGAAACCACAGAACTGATATGCCACATGAGGTTTCAAACATGAAAACCGCTAAAGACCGGAAAAAACTGGTAAAAAATGATAAAAAACCCCAAAAAACCCGTTTTAAATTGCTTTGATGCCAATTTTCATGGCAGAAATGGAAAGCACGCAAAAAATTACATAAGTTGGAGGTGAAAGTTGCCGATACAATAACATTCCTCTCGCAACAATTCACGTGAAACGTAATTTTATCGCCTTTTTATTCGTTTCTGAGGAGAATTCGACCCTCCGCCCAAGCGGGTAGCATTTCAAGTTCCCGATAATATCAACAGGGTCGACCCAGAGCGTATCATATGTGAATATGGTAGTGCTACAAGCTTGGGCTGTACCCGAAACATGGCTATTTTCAAAATTTCTGAGTGAACACATACTTATGGGTCAGTTTATCCTAGAGAAATCCGCTGTTGAGTGTTAGTTGGTCATTGTGTTCCTATGTAATTTTTTGCGTAGAAATCAAATCTGTGGTCGTTTGGCTGAAAATCCCTGACTTAAAGCATGAAAACCGCAGAAAATTGGTAAAAAACGCGAAAAATCGCGAAAAACCCCCCAAAATCCCCCATAATTTTGCCCCAGTGCCAATTTTGACGGCGGAAATGGAAAGAACGCAAAATTTTACCCCTGGCACCCAATTTTCATCTGTATACGAGCGAAATTGACGGCGCTACAAAATTAAAACCGATTTTGCTCTTAAAAATTCGGGGGGGCCCCTGACCCCCGAATATTGGGCCGATCGGCCTGAAACTTGGCATGCTTTCTCTTGACACTTATACGTAACGAATCACAGCAAAAAAAGTCCCGGATTAGGTGGGGCCGGAAATGGCCCAAATCGCCACCCCTCCTTTAAATTTATAATTGTACATTTTTAGTTATGAAATTTATTTCAAAATTAAGTTTAAGACAAAGATGAACTCTGGGATCTGACTGTGTAGCCACTAGTGAACAAAATCAAAATATTAAAGATGGCAGTTCACTCAAACTTTCATTCTCCACCAAAAAAATAAAAATAAAATAAACATTTCAAATCCTTGTTACTGTCTTCATTTGAAACCACGAAAGAGGAATAATTTGGGAAAATGCTCACAGCAGGGCATGGAGAAAATGCCCAATTTTGCGATCATAGGACTTCAGCATAAGTGAGGAAAATTTTGGGTCATGAGGCAATCTTCATAAGTAATGTCTTTTTTCTTTTTTTTTTTTTGGCTTGGTCCTTTAAAAAGTAGGACAAATCGCACAATTTGCAAGAAAGGACGACGTTTTGCTGCAAAATTGGACGCTTCACCTTGTAGTAAAAGACACCAAATCACAGCAAACGGTTAGCATTTTGGAACTTTCTGCACCCCTAGCTCAGTGCACAGTATAAAAAGCTCATGGTGTTCGATGAAACACGGCACATGATGAAAATAAATTAAGTTAAAAGTAAAAATAAATAAAACAAGTTTGCACTTCTGAGTGTTAAGTTGTGTCCGTGTTGTTGCCATTCTTGTGGTCCAATTTATTGCTGTTCGACTTGACCATGTAGATAAAGAATGACAAAGCTTCTTTTTCAATGACCGGAATCGTTTTGAAATGCTTGAGGAGGGTCTGAAACAAGAGAACAAATGTATGAAAATTTAGTTTGGCTCTAATTAACAGTGGTGCTTGATCCTGCAGAAAAATGTGAGACTGAGACACCATTCAAGGGGCAGGCAACACATTTGCACAACCCTGCGTTTTGGCCTCCATGAGGTTTATAGCCTCCAGTTAGGGATAACCGCTTGTAGGGTTTCCATAAATTCTTCATTTTCTGATTCCCTGACATTCTCTGACTATTTTTGTTTTCCCCTGAATCTAAAATTTTCAAATTCCTGACTTTACACACCTTTCCTTGCCCTTTAATCAAAAGTTCGATTTTTTTTCTTTCAGTTGTGCTGATTTTATTTAACTATGGACAAAATCTCCACTTATAGCGATTTAAATGAAGGGATTTGCGCTCTCCCCAACAGCATCGTCTAAAGTTGCTGAGCAGAAGCGCTACTGGCTTGGTTCCTTGATTTGTCCCATGAATTCCCGGCATTTTTCAGGTTGTCATTATTTCCTTAGCATTCCAGGTCTTAAAAACTCTTGGAGACCCGACGCTTGGCACTGCATCAAGAGAGAAAAGAAAGAAGATGAGAGAAAAGATGATTTTCCCTCCTTAAGAAGGGAAAATCATGAGGAGATAGGAGAGGAACCTCTTCTCTTTTTGTCCAGTCCTGCAGAAACTGAAATGGTAACTCTACGGTCAAACCTGTCAAAATTGAAATTTCTAACTCTGGAGAGACGTGGAGGATTCAAAAGAAGAAATGGTCTTCCTTAGTTCTTTTTAAAATTGTATAAGAGGGCTATCCAAATCAAGATGTGCTGGCCATAGAGTTAGCATTGGCAAAGATTTGAGTTGAACAATTTTTATACATATATAGTTTTGTCAGATTATTATTGCAGTTCCTTACAAACAAATTCATGGCAGATTTTCAAAATCTTAACGAGGGATTTTTCAAAGCAACTGTATCAGTGAATTCAAAACGACTTTTGAGGAAGTTTGACATTTTTTTAAAGGAACTACAGAAACTTACAAATAAATGTTTAAGGCTTTAAGGAATACTGTGAAAATCTACGCTTCTCTTACTACTCATGTACTCTCTCCTGTAAGTATGTTGACAAGCAAATGTGTAATATACGTACGAACAATGTTATTTCAGGGAGTTTCAATTTAAAAAAAAAGAGAGAAAAGAAAAAGGGGGGGGGGGGAATCTGTTTCCTTCTTTGTACCTAGACTCAGTTCAGAAATGGATTAAGATGATGAGAGATGGTTTTCAAACAGATACTTCAGATTCTTTTCTGGACATTCGGATTTTTTCCCCCTCCAAGTAGCCAATGAGGGCGAGTCCCATTTAGTTAGACAATTTGCCATCCCTCTTTGTGTTCCTACTTCAGGCTATCACTAAAAATTAAATAACTCTCATTCCCTGAATGCAAATTCCTTTCACCTGTAACATATGTGGAGTAATTCTCCGGTTTCCCAGGTTTCCTCTTGGAATCTTATCAAGTCCCTCATTAAGTACCTAATTTTTAAATCCATAAACATTTAGGTGCTAATACTCACGTCAGCTAGCTGAGCTTTATTAATTCCTGGCCTTGTGGTGACCTTGAAATGCCGCTTGTAGCGCCGCAATGTATTAACTTGTAGCTGAAGCAAATCTACATCCGGGACATCTGTGTCTGTTTCGTTGGAGTCATCCTCCGAGTCTTTGTTCCTGCGCCGCTTGCTCCTTGCAGACTGAATCACACCCTTGTGATAATCACAGATATAGATGTGGCGTGCCTACAGTAAAAAAAAAAAATTCCAGTTAGACACAAATAAAGCAATCTGAAAACAACTAAAATGGATTTTGGTATTTAAAGATAGAGGTAGTAAAAGCCTTTGCACTTCAAGCATGATTATTCGACACAGGAAGAAAAAATTAAAAGTCACTGTCTCAGTGTTCCAATCTCACAGAGAAATTAAGGGGCTAATTTGGCTACCTTGATCAACATTTAGAGGTCATTAGGTTTACAAGGGGTCGAAATGGATTTTTCTAATAAAACTTATGATGAGAACCAAATGTCTTTTGGCACCTTAGAATCCGACTTTTCCCAACTGATTACATCTTCTCAAAACTTTCTTTTACTGAATTGAAATCTTTTTAAGGGGTCTCTATAGGAAATTAGTATCAAATGAGAAAGTTTGTCTGTGTTCCAGCATTCATGTGGGTAACTGACCGTGAATATTGAGGCGCCAACTTTGGCTACAATATGAATTAATCAGGTGCTATCGAAAAAGATTTGGGCACATTTGACGCATGTTGCCTGTCGGACTCAAACGCTGCATTAGCCTAAAATCAGTTCTATTCAACGGTGTTGCAAAATACTTGTTCTGTTTAATATAACTGGGCATCAATCTACGGTGCCTATACTTTTTTGAAGCACAACAGTCACTACTAAGGGTGTCTCCTGGAGTCCTTCAAAAAGTTTTGGGGCTCTTGTAAGTAAAAGTTGAAGCATAAAGAACAAAAAAATCACTAGCCCAGAGCAATTTAATGCCAAACAATTGCCAGCACAAATTCTACATACTTAAAGTCTGATAAGGTAAAAGATTCACACCCAATTAGCATCACAGCCTTTAATGCGGCTGTAGCTTTCAAAAATTGATACTGAAGAGGCACAATGTTTCTGATACGAAGAGGATGGCAGAAGATTAGTTTAAGGCTTATTAGCAATTTTACTTTCCTCAGATCTTTCATCAGATCATACATAGAAACTGGAAACAACTTCGCAAAAGCCTCCTCCATAAAAAACCAAAGAGAAATTTGTCAAAATTATTCCTCAGTATAACAGCCTCTTATTTACAGCTTTCCAGGTGGCTGACTGGAGACAGATTCTTTAAAGCAACTGGTCATAATAGAGTAACCATAGCAGGGAAGAAAATCACAAAAGAAAAAATTGGATGGGATAGGTAAAAATTATAAATGATTCTAACAATGATCTCCGATCAAGCCAACCCCACTCAAATCATAAATTGTGCAAACCAACATTTTTCAGAAATTTCTGTATTTACTTTATTGATACTTCCAGAATTGTTCCAAAAATTTCAGATATTTGTACAAGGATACTAGCAGGCAATTCTAGCAAGTTGGCAACAATTGATTTTGTTCAGGTACGTGTAAGCAATTGATATTGTTGCAGGCAGTCTGCCTCACCCAGAATGATTTTATAAAGTGAATTTAAATGGACCAGTGCTGCTGTTTGAGAGAATTATAACTGGTGGATCAACTTGTTACATCAGCACAAGGTAGTGTATCATCAGTGCCTTGAGAGAACTTGAAGCACCTAAACTTGCAGAGAGTTGTTTAGAGTGATGGCCAAAGAGCAAAACCATACATCTCTATCGCAGTGTTTCAAAATTTTCACTCCAATTATATTTTTGAGAGAAGGAGCAAGCCAACTTTATAACATGCAATTTATGCCGACTATTCTTCAAACACTGCAGGCAAATCCAAGTTTTCAACAAATTACTTTGACTGGTTTTCAAAAGAAAAATAAAGTATGACAGGAAGTCTGCAACAATGCAAACAGAGATACATTGTTTCTGAATTTGCCATCAAGATGATCTATCATTCTTAACTATAGGTAATCATGATTACTTACTATCCTAGGTTTCGGAAGTTACTTGTAATACTTACAACAGGGTCTAAGTTAAGCTTCAGCCGCCGCTGTGTTACAGTTTTCTGAATCCTTTTACTGTATGATGCATTGCCTGCCTGCCGATGACACCGAAATCCGTCATCCACTAAACAGCAGATTTGATCGGAAGGGCCTCGAGAGTCCTCCTCTCCTGTGCTAAAACCGTTGTTCATTTTGCCGAATTAATCCTGAAACATTAGAAAATTGTTAGAAACATTACAAGGCTTTTACGTGCAGAATAGGGAATTCCCTGCAGGGCATCACCAAAATTAAGATAAACATGAAGGGATCAGAAAGTTCAATTTTGTCCAAGGGTACTAAACTTTCTCCTAACAAGGTGGTCCCCTAAAATAGTGCTCGGTTTACACTGATCTGCAAGGAGGGCAAGACCAAAAAATTCCAAAAATTTCAATTACTTAAAGGCTTCATTCAGACATTTCATTTTGGGCTACATTTTGTGTGATTTGTTCCTTTCCCCTAATTGCACACGGATCCTTGATGTGCCTGATAAATCAGTTGGCTAATGGATGGAGATGTTTCCACAGAAACAAGTTAACTCATGACGCACAAGATGGTTCAATGATAACCATCATGTACTTGCATGATATATGTTTGCCACTTCTACCATTCATTGTGTATTACACAACCAAACTGAACAGTCTAGGTACTTGGGACAAATTAAGGGCTTCTTAGGGCCTTGTGTACAGACTCACATATATTCTCTCAAGGATTTGAAATCTCAAGAAAAGAAAGATGCAAATGAGGACGGACTTAAAGCGATCAACTTGAGAAGTTTGTGCTCTTTCCTCGCCGCAACACCTGGCGACAGAGGCTACTTAGTAAGTCCTAAAATCATCAAACAACTATTTAGAGTGCACTGAAGAGAAGAGTCGTCCATACTATGATAAAATATATGCTAGATAAAAAAAGCTTCCTGGTAAGGGTAGGTGGGACACATGTTACCCAGGGAGGCTTTAGAATGAGGTTATGATGGCAACTCGGAAAAGCTTCAAAGAGCGAAAACTTAGGGGTTGAAACTGAAGTTTCAATATGCTTCGTTGAATGCAGTTACTCAAACAGGATTCCTGAAAATCAAGTTTTTAGTTTCAGCAGCATCCTGATGAAAGAGAATGAAAGGAGAGCGAAGCATCCATCCCTGCTAAAGAAGCATGACAGGTGAAGCTTCACAGCTACAAATAGGTAGTCTGATCCGGGTGAATCGTGAGTAGAGGTCATAAGCATGTATACGTCAATAAGAAGAATGAAAGGGGAAAAGGAAAATTTTAACAGACTAACCTGAACTCTCCTTGACAGAAAAAAATTCACATGACTAGAGCCAAATCGCCCAGAACAATGATAACAAAACAAAACTTATCAACAAGTCCACCTGCGCAATGAATTCTTTGGTAGAAAATGAATCGGATCAGAGCTAGACGGTAGAAAATCTGACGAATGGATCAGAAGAAATCTACAGACCAACTTGCACTTCCTAAAATATCAACAAAAACGCAACAGCAACGAAGGAATCACTATCAAAACACGCGAAGCGCTGTAGTAAGTACCTCACACACACACACGCTGTAATTTACTTGACAAACACACGCTTACGCACACACGCGTTTTGATAACATTTAAAATGCAACGCGCCACGCTATTGGTCGGCCTGAGAGAGCCTGCTGCTGTAGCAAAACCGCGTATCCGCGAATCTTCGTCAAGAGCATCTTAGGTGCTTTGGAGCAGTTCGAAAACTTTCTCTTCTCAGAGCATCTCTGACAATGAGTTGCTATGTGCTGTTTAGCGCCGCGGAAATTATTTTGTCTCATGACAGCCAGAACTAAAAACCAACGTAATAGTGGGGCCGATAAGCATAACAATCGTGCACTTCTGGAAGAAAGCATGAAAATTTCAGGGATTCATCTCTACCCTATAGACATTCGATTCAGACATAGACCCCAAAAATCTGAGCCCCCTGGGGGGGCAGGGGGGCCCCCAAATTTTGAATTTTGAATAACTACTGAACGGCTAATGTTAGCGTAA